GCACCATCAGATAACCATTAGGAATGAGTGGAGGGCGGTGCCAATGATTGTAGGTTGGGCCAATGAGAAGAACGACGGCATCGTGGGCTCCTCACTCGTTTTTGCGCCGCGAAAGTGGTGTAGTTGTTGCCTCTGCGGACCTGACTACCTGCTCACGAAGGGAGAGGAAAATCTCAACTGAACGCGGACGCTGCCTTTTGACCAATACAGGTGGAACACTTGCAACGGAGGTCATTCAGGTCGTAGCGCGCTTTTAGAAATGGTTTGTTGCATATTGAAGGAGCTCACCTGCGGATCATAAAAACGGGTTTCTTTTTAGCTATGCGTTTACGAAAAATCTTCGCTGAAGCTCTGTATATAGGGTTATTAATAGCCCTGATCACGGCTCTGACCTTCGTAATTGGCGCCGAGGCCACTTGGCGCCAACATGGCTCTGAATACCCTCCCTTAGGGGTGGGTGCTGCGAGGGCCATTTAAGAAACTCCACTGCTACCTCTCTTTGGGCCAATTAAGGTACATTTTTCACCTTAACTTGTGTGTTTTCGATGCAGAGTCAACGAAGGTCTTTCTTGCTATGCATACTCAACATTAGAAATAGAAAAGAACCTAGAAAAATGGCTCAAAATCGCTTTTCTTCAGCAAACTCAGTCATTTGACACTTCCCAGGGAATGCATAGCAAAAACGAAACCCATTTTTGTGATCCTTATATGGACCCCTACAACATGCAACAAACCATTTTGAAAAGCGCATTACGACCTGAATGACCCCTCTTGTTGGATCATGGGCTGGAGCCGATCCCTGAGTAGATTTCCGGACAATATAAGTGTGCGACGCCACTTGCCACCATGCCACCTATGTCTCCACTCCACAGATCTTTTGAAACCTTAACAAATTGTGTGATTAGTGTACCTTAAAATGACCAGAACAAAAACAAGAGGATCTTTCCGGATGCTGCAGTGATTTTGTGTGATTTTTTGCAGGAGCTAGATTCACTGTCAACGGCACTGCGAGATCAAGCTAGTCAGGATGGGTTCCAGGGACACATGCAGCAGTACTTCTCTCACAGTTCGTTGGTCTTTGTTTTCTTTTTTGATTTTTTATCCTTCCATAATTGGGAGGAGTTGGTGGTTTTTTTTCCCAGTTTCCACAGCACAGACTAATTTGAGAAACTGACTACTTTCCTCATGCAACTCCTTTTTAGAACCGTGTTCTTAGGACATCATTTTTGAAGGTTTTAAGGTTTTTTAAAACTGTAAAGGCATAGTCCGCGCCTTTCGTAAGGACGTAGTCAGACCTACCACTGTGCTTTCCTCATAGCATGCCTTCTTTCTTACTGTAGTTCTTTTTACAGTGAGCATAAGCCTCGCAACAGTGAGTTAGGTACGATGGTCATAGGTCTCCGCCCACTCTGCTATCATGAAATATGTTTTATTCACGTTTACCATTGTTGTGTGTTTCCTAATAATGTCAGTGTTTGATGTTTCAGGAGCTCGGACTTTACTTGATATACGCCCTGGTGGCTAGCACTGGATGGTGGCGAATTTGAACTGGATTCGGCTAGCTAATCCGGTCATTTTTCAAACAGTGTAAGTTATGCTGGCAAGAAGAGTTGAGTGGAGAATACGAAAACTCAGGTATCTTCAAAGCGTTGATTTTAAGTGAACTAAGAAAAATTTTGAAACTTAATTCGAATGCGATCTCGAACGGGGCTTGGCGCGGGTATCTGCTGGTTCTTTACCAAGAGGCGGTGAACTGGCCTTTGGCCACGGCTATTACGGGCTAAGTTGGCAATGCAGTCGGATGGCTGCAGAATGCGATTTGAGCTGGGGGGGGGGGGGGGGTGGAGCGCATACAAGAAGGATTGAGTCGCTTTTGGTTCTCCTGCCGCCCTCCCTCCCCCCCCCCCCCTCTCACCAAAAATGAGGGAAACCAGGGCGTGCCAGTTACTGTACTACTCAGTTGCAAGTTCGGCTGCTGATTACACTGACTAATACAGACCGTACGCAGCACTGGCCCTTTTAATAGCACAATTCACATTGGTCACATGGGCGGAGACAACTAACCACTATGTCTTCCTCATTTGGCAAACCCATCCTCTTTACGGTATTAAGAAGGGTATACCGATGAGGACGGCACAGTGGATATTCAGCTGTTTCTTCGCCGACTGGGTTTTCCGCTGTTTACAACTCCGGAAGTTGCGAGGTTTCGAGGAAGTTTTAAAACTTGTATTTATAGTAAAATCTTTGAAGTGTTTTCCAACTGTCGTTTGACATTTTTTAATTTTCATATTTTGTTATAATAACTAGTTATCCCTACTCCTATTCTCGGCAGTGATCAGTTTCAGATGCCTCAGTTGATCCTCCAGAAGAAAGGCATGGACGTAAAGGAGGATACCTGCCAATCGTTCAGGTGATCAGTTAAGCATTTTTCCTGCTCAGTCTGGCTTGGTGGGGCACCAAATGGTACACTCAGCGAAGCCTGAAGATCTGTGAATTCCTGACCAAAGTTCACTTGTTCCATTTTGCAGCTTCGCAAGGGCTTACTGGTCTCCCCAAATGAGGTCCGTTAGTCAACATGAACTAGCCAAAGGATTTAGTGAAAAAGTAAATTGCCCCTGCTGAGCCGATGAATTGCCATTATCAGGTTGCAGCCTTTGAGAGGGATGAATTAGTGGTGTGGGGTAAGGGCACATCGTAGTTGGGGACTCCCCAACACGGGGGTCGTATTTGGTCGCTGCGGAGAGGGGTCGTATTTAGGCTGAGAAGAAATTTATTTTGATAGTTGATTTTCC